TGCTAGTTTATCACTCTAATGCCCTATACCTCGTTGGGTTTTCTGGACGCTTGCCGCGCGCACTACGTTTTCCGGTGCATCGCACGTGGAGACCTTTCGACCCGTTCAGTGAACGTAAAGATCGTGCCCGCTGTCTTCGGTGCTGCGGAAGAAGCTACGGGACGGAAGAAATATCAAAACCCAAGCGTTTAGGGCTCCGGGCCAGGCTGCCGGGTCACTCTGGACCAGAGGCGACGTGTGTGCGCACTCTTTGAGGAGGCCTCCGCGCTTCACCGCGCCAGGCCTCGCCGATCGCGACCGGACCCCGAGTCCGAAAGGCTCCTGCGCAGCCAGGAACGGCACCGAGGTAGGAGCTGCTCGTTCTGCGCTACCATGCAGTGCTCTTCAGTGCTCGGAGCTCTCGGTGTCGTTCGTGCTTGCGCCGAAGCCTTTGGGACCACTTCGGACGCGCAAGTCGTACTTCTTAGGCTTGGACGGGGGCCGCCCTCACCAAGCAGCTCCGCTATATTCCGCTTATTTATGATGGCAAGGAAAGCTCGCGTTTGTTCGCGGGAAAAATATGCGGGCGACCATATGGGACCGCTCTCCGCGCCGCCGACGAGGTTGGCCGCCGCCATGTTCTCAGCTGTTCACTCGCTCCCGCAGCGAGCGCCTTCCCATAATCCTCCCCGTTCCGAAACGCGATGCGACCTCCGTTTACATGGGCTGAATGAATGCGCACTCGCCATCTCGATCCACTTCTGTCTAGCGACTTGAATGCAATGCGCTTTCATTGCGGATTATGCCCCTTACATGACCGCATTGAATACGACAACTAGATTTGATGCGACTAAGTCGCATTCAGGTAGACGCGGCTTGTGATTCATTGTTCGGAGTTCTTAGCGTCAATTGCGTGTCGACTGAATCTGGAAGGTCCGCTTTCCCGCAAGGTACTTGGGAGAGCCAGTCGCTGTAATCAGCAGATGGAGGTAGGCCAATGACGAGGCTGAAAAAATGTGCCCCTTTCACTACGGTCATCGCCCCTCTGCGGATCGGTTTCTTTACGTCAAAACCAGGAGTCTCCAAACTTTTTTTTTTGTTTGAAAGAAAGGCAGGAAAATAAATAAGTAAGTGTAATTGAGGAAATAAAAAATTAAAACGTATGGATAAGCATTTGAATATAACATTAAAGGTTAGAGTACAAATTAAAAAAAAAGATATAGGGTGGATGGATTTATACACTTTATTTTCAAATTGAATATTAAGCAAATTATGAGATTGCGCAATAATTGGGACACGTAAAACTCGCCAAACGTAAATCGAAGCGCAATAAAAATATGGCATACTCACAGAGGTCAGAACACTCACCAGTATGTTAAGGCCCATTCACACTCTTACGACCGAGTACGACTGAGAGAGACGAGATCTCTTACAACTTCTTAAATGTTTTTAGAATGAGGGAACGCACTGGCATTGTGGCGCCATCTATGCGGTGACCCTGGAACTGCATTTCACAAGAGCGAAGGTTTTGCGGGATTTTCGAGGTCAAATGTGCGTAATACCCATAGAAAGGCTCGTTTATAACATTGTCAAAAGTTTTTCGAGCCAAGAAAGAACGGATAATGCTCGAGAAATAAAAAAAAATATGCCGGACCGCCGAGTTTACACTGCTTCCCAGTAGATGGCGCCAGTGTGTTTCCTGGTTTAACAAGTTTTAAGGAACCCAGGTTTAAGAGGTCGCAAGCAGTCGCAAGAGTGTGAACGGGCCTTTAGAAAGAATGCTAACAATATGCGATGGATAGGACACGGGACAATAACTGCGGTGAATACTGAGAACGCGAAGGAATTTTCACACAATTGTTAGACAGAAAACGGAACTAAGTATGATGATGTTGGTGGTGACAATATTCTATTCTTACGATGGCGGGAGGACCCGCGTTATGAGAGGCAGTTTTTTTTTTTCTTTCTAGTTCCTTGGATAGCCTGGTAATGCGCGTCTGGACGCCGTTTTTGTTAAAGGTCGACCAACAGAGGACGTATTCTCGACGAATTTACGCGCGTTTCAGCGGGCGTAACTACGGAATTTGGCTGGCGCTTTTAAAACCACACTCGGAGCGTTTCGTTTACGTCTACTCGGCCTCTGGTGCAGTGTGGCACAAGCAGAATATATAATACTCACGACTGGCCAGCTGATTGGCCGACACCGCGCCGTATGCTCCCGGATACGCCACGCCGAAATACGCCGTAGCGCCGAGATCTGTCCCTGTCGGATCGCCCAATACGCACTATTTACGCCGGCATTCAGGCATCGAGGAAGTGCTCGCCCCGACGCCCACTATGCGTCGGTATTACGGTCCTCCAAAACGCCCGTAAATACGTCCAATATACGCCCTTGTGGTTCTATACGAGCGCTTTCTTGACGCCTCAAGGGCGGCGCAGATGGCGCGTATTCGGCGATCCGACCGGGATAGATCACGGCGTTCCGGCGCATTTCGGCGTGGCGTATCCGGAAACGTACTGCGCGGTGTCGGCCAATGAGCTCCCGAGTTGACAGCAGGAAGTTGCTCGAGGATCGGCTTTCCTAGCTATGCGGCCGGCTGGCTGGCTTGACTCAGCCGCCGAAATGGAAGCTCGTGTGGCTCGTTCGCAGGTTCATCCGTGAATTGTACAAAATCGTTATATCTCTTTCAACCGAGTGATGAACGATTGAGAGAGAAGAAAAGTCCGTCTGTGTGGCGGGTGATATGAAGAAAAAAATGATAAAAGTATGGGCTTGGCGAGGGGTCGCGGCCGTTTTCCTGCCAGGACTTGTTCGCAACTTGCCCATTGCAAGGCACATGTTTGAGACGAGCGCTAGCGAATTAGGCTTTCGTTGCTGGTTAACCTATTTGCTCCCGCTTGCATTGCGCACTGCCGTGCCGTCCGTGGCGCACATTTCCCCCCTAAAACGGCCACACTAGGCGTAACTGTTTTGCTTGTATAATAAACTTTTACAGTAAAGCTCGGTGCACAAAACATGTTTATTTATATGTTTAAGTGGTCCGTAGAAGTCTTTAAATCAATAGGCCCTCACAGATTCTTCCTCGGATAAAAGACCTCGAAGCACTCCACCCTCGGTTGCTTAAACGTCGCACAACCAGCGCATTCTTGTCGTGATTCGGACCCAGAAGTGCTGTAGGAATCGCGCCCGTCGTCGACAGAAGGTTCCAGAAACTCACTATCTTGACCAGACGTCCCGTTATCATCGCTGCCGAAGAGAATATCTATGATTTCATCGTCAGAAAGGCCACACCACATACTGGACGCTGCCATCTTCTCCAAGCAGGCAGCGATCGAGCGGGAAAGACGACACACAAAAGTACAAGCTCAAACAAACACAGCGGACGGAACGACCCTCGCCATCTGTTGGAAATGTATCTAACTACAATACCCCAAGTCTACATAGCGCGCCATCGATGAATGGCTCTTTAAAACAAACATTCATGCAGACCGGCAAATCGCCGGCTTTGGTGATGGACCTCCTGCGCTGAAGCTTTGAAGAAACTGTGGCGCCCTCATTTTGGGTATAGTACAAGCTCACCTGGTTGAAGCACCCACTATTTTGGCGCCTTCGCCGTGATTGTTTTCCTTCTGTGTAATAGAAAAAAAAAAAAAAAAAAAAAAAGAAAAGCATTTGAACGTCGGAAATCGGCTACATTCAACGCCGCAAGACAATCGAAAGTTCCGTATTCATGCCATCACCGCTAGGGTACGCGTCTCGTACCTCTAACTGGTGACGTTAGAACATCTGGCGTCCCGACGATTTTTTTTTCTTCCCCTTTATGTTTCTTTGGGACGCGTGACATGGCGCTTCTTGGTTTACACTCTTATCGTCCTAGCTTCGGCCTGTGTTTCAACGGCGTTGGCATTTTTCGTTTTCTTTTTTTTTATATTTTCCTCCTTATCGTGTTCCGCGCCAGAGCAGGCACGCTTCTATATGTGTGGAAGTTTGAGTCGCTGAAGTTTGTTCTACTCAAGACAAGTCCTAACAAGTCATTCTTCGCAGCGCCTTCTGGGCAACGCAAGATGCCCATATGGCCCCTGACAGCACATCCGGCAATTCGCCGGCTTTGGTAGTGAATGGGTTAACATTCACTGTTTTCAGTTCCCTTGCGGAAGGCAATAATGTAGCAGCCAATTTACATTTTGCCTCGTTTCATGAAAGGCGCGAGTCGGGCCCCACTGCACCAAACGCCGAGGAGACGCCGACGAAAAGCGTCTTGTGTGGTTTGGCGCCATTCCCCTCTTCCCTTTTGTGAGAGAAGAGCCCGCAAAATACCGTGATTACGCACCCTGAAACTCGCGTAAATTCGTCGCGAATACGCCCTATGTGGGTCGGCCTTTAGAGGCGCTTAGTTTTGCCCCGGTAAGCCACTGCCGGTCCGTGGAGCCCACGGCCAGCTACGGGCCGGTCAAAAGACCTTCGCGGACCGGATTTGACCCGTGGGCCAGGGTTTGGAGACTTCTGGCCGAAAAGTATTTTTAGCGTTGTCATACGCCCAACTTTGACTGCTTCTCGCAAGTGCTTTGGTGGAAAGTACACTCTTAGTTTTTGTTTTAGATTGATATTCGGAAAGCAAGTCATCTGCTTCTTGCGCAGGGGTTACGGTGACGTCAGAATGACGCCGAGTTCTGATTGGCTTTGATTGGAAGGATAGTGGGTAGACCTCAATGCTAGATGCCTCGAGGTCTGCCCACTACTCTTTCTTCGCAGCCCCCGTGGAAGAGGCAGGCGAACTTGCGCGCCGTACAGGCTGAAAACACAGTGTTTGAGTACTATCCGTAAACTAGACTGCGTGCGAGGGTTCGTAGGCCTTATTGTTAGTGCCTTAAGAGTGACCATCACAAGGCAGTGTCACGGCAATATGACGTGTCAAATATATATTTTTTTTAATACTGCAGCACGGCCGTTTGGTAATGATGTTTGAAGGCATCGTGTTTCAACGTAGCAACGTGTACAAAAGGAATAATTAACATAAACGTAAACATATATAAAATAACTTTATTTAAATCGCATCACTCATTGAAAGGCCGTCACATCAAACGAGCCACAAACTTCTAAAAAAATATAGTTGACGTTTTAAATTGTTTGCTTTAAATTACTTTTCTTGTTGATACGGATTGTGGGTCACTGGTCACTGAATTGTACACAAGTAATCCTTGTAAAGCTTCTGTGGTGAGCGACTGCCCAACTATAAAATAAACTTATTTTAAAAGAAATTATCACAATACGTCTGTAGAATGTCAAGCTATTAAACACTTGTTTCCTGCAATTATGAATAGGATGAATATAAATAGTTCACATTACTATCACTTGTACCTTAATAAAGGTGAATGACATATGTAAATTTCTTAAAGGCTAGGCATTTTTTTTAACGAAGCAACTGCACCCCAGTTAACGAATCAATAGATTGTTTCGAAATTGAGAGAACTACCTATATGATCAAGGTTTCGCACACACACTACGCAATACTGTCAAAATACTTTAAAATTAGGGCTTTAATATGTATAACATCCCCTAAATTATCTGCATTATTGTTTTAAACAGATTTTATAATTACAGCGGTTTAAGTTTCCTCTCTTTCTTGAAAATCATTTGACTTGTTTGCAGCATATTTTTTTTGTTGCTTCGCGCATTTCCTCAACGTAACATAATTTGCTCCTTGCAGGACTGGCACTTCAAGCGTATGCGGTAGTGACTCCCCCGTAGACTCCCTCTCCCACCGTTTAATATACACGGATCCAAATCTCAAAGGAGGATCGATTTCAGTCAAGAAAGTTCGAAGAGAAAAGCAATCTATTTGTTTTTCCTTCGTATCGCTTTCATATATCAATCCGTTGGGTCCCCGGTTCTAAGGAAACACACCCAAGTTACAAAAAAAAAAAAAAAACAGAAAAAAAAACGGACTTTTCTAATGCATCTCATTGGTTGGACAGACGCGTGCGTCGTTGATTTGCTTGCCGCATATAGCAAACAACAACGTTTCAAAGCGCCACTTGTATGAAAAGCCTGCCATTATTTTGACCTGATGTGTTTCTGATTGCAACGCTACGTTCAACTGCGGTGCCTGAAACGCTTTTCATCCTGGTGTGTTTAGCGTCCCATTCCGCCCGTGTTCCGAAACTGGTTCCGCGAAGTAGGAACAAATGACGACGCAAAAGACCGGAAGTCACGCTGTCAGATGTTGCGATACCGGTGTTTAACCGTAAAAATTTAGTTCCAGTAAAAAAGCACGAACAAACGCAAGTATCCCTGTCGTCGCGGCGTCCGAACTCTTGGCTGCCGAAACTTCCGTGGACAGTCGCGGTCGTTCAAGCTAAAGAGCGACCTGCAGCTAAGAGGCGTCTGCAACGCCTGCCACCGGTACTGGGACATCACCAGGGTCGGGTTTGGCGACAGCATGACACTGGAATTGCATCACCAGGCGAAAATCGAGGAACAATCATTTTGACGCACTAAACACACCAGTCGCAGACGCTTTTTAGGTACCATAGCTCGAGTGAAAAGATATCAACCACTTGCATCGGTTCGAGAATCAGCGGCGTTGTTTTGTACCGTTGCGCATCGTTTGTATTTCAGTTACTCCATGGACTATCAGGCGTTCGTAAAAGACACAAGGTCCACCTATAGTCACTGAGAAAATGGAAACACAAAATTATGAGCCATTCCACTTTGTGAAGCTGGATGACCAGCGAAGCTGTTTAGCACACGACACAGACCCGCCCAGAAAAGCCGGAGGGAACTAGACACGCGCGACGGGACTACCACCCGGCGGAAAGTAGACACGCGCAACGGGACCGCCACGCCGGGAGAGCGGAAGGAGAGGAAATTAAGCGCGCAAGCGCTTGGAACGACGACAAAGATATGGCGGTGCGATCTTAGACATGGCCGACGCGGGTCGCACAGAGGCAATCTTCGAGAAACCTTAATTATCTACCCGAGAGTCTACTGATCTTGAAAATGGTGCCTTTTGATAAATAATCTACTCAATAGACTTATTGATAAACTACCGAAACATCTAGGGTAATGCAGGGAATAATGTTCGACGTGCTGCACGTGTCGGCGTATGCAGCAGTAACTGTTCTAAAGTAAAATCCTTAAAGAAATGGTATCTTGCACGCGCGTCCGTCAACGCTTTATTTTGGGTATTTAGTTCGAACGTTTTATACGGGGAAGGCGTGCGCGTACGGCGCGTGCGGCGGAACAAGCGTAAAGTGTTTGCTCAGGCACACGAAAAATCCACGAAACCCTAGCCATAAACATCTTCGCTGTAAAAAAAAAAAAAGCAGTTCGTCTCTTTGTGAACGCCCGTCCTTCAGCGTGCGCTCGCTGTCTTCCGCAGTGTTTTGGCTACTCTTGAACGCTCTTGTCTCCCAAAGTGCTGAAGCGTTATTGAAGGCTGAAAGCTCACGCTGGAGGCCGAACACTCGAAGGACATCCCTGCCGTTTTCATTTTGTCAGTGACTACTGTCGTGCTACGGGTACGTTTGTTAGGGTGTTCAATTTGGTAGAATCGATGCGTTGTCGTAAAATGGCCCCATGGGACGTGTCAACGTGCTGCCGCAACAAGTCCCAGCAGTAGAAACATCGCCAGAAGAAGCTGCGCGGGCGGCAGAAGTGTTCCAGCTCCGTTGCAATAGTCCTGGTCCTTGCACAGACAGACTTCTTTCCTGAGTTGGTTGGGAAGCTTCTCCACAAAGCAGCCCACTTCCACGGAGTTCACGCACAGCCACGTCACGTTTCGGGGTTGCTCTGCAAGACAGACGTCGTAACAACGATTCAACGTCGTAGAATATACCTGCTGGGCGAGGCTATGGTTGCTGACACCTTTAAAAACGCTGGACGTGGAATATATAGTACACGGATTTTGCTGCGGCAGTTGCTCTTGAGCGTTCTTATGAAATAATGACGCAATCTTATTTGCTACGGAGCGTTAATAAGACGCTCGCGACTTGCCACGTCCTTCGTTTTTTAAGCTCTCAGTGGGCATAGAGGACATTAAGGGCAGTTAGGTTAAAACTTTAAAATGATCGAGTTTTCTGCTACAGGTCAGAAAACAACAACACAATGTTGGGGTCAGAAAATATGAAGCCCATAATAAAAAAAACAACAACAACAACATGTATTTTACATTAACATTTTTGTCACTGGCAAGGTCAGCGTAGATCAAGCAGTGCTGTCCAATGAACTTATGAGAGCGCGTAGCGTCGTTTGATGTATGCTCTGTTGCAGAGCGCCCGCGATTGAGATGCGAGGTAACACCACGTAATGGCGCAGCCGTGCGAGGCCGGAACATACTGCAAACTACGCCACCCTTCCTGAAGTCGCGCATAAGTGTGGACGCCGAGTATTTCCGACTTTAGCAAAACAGACGGTATTTAACGGGAAAACCCTGAACTTGCCGAAGCAGGACTTTCGCGATATCTGCTCGTATCTTGTGGCTTCCTTGATTTCATGTTGGCGGCTGCTGTGGCCACCGAAGTAAAGCGAGGAATATTCCTTCGGTTGTGTCCTTGTGTCTAGAGCCACTAAATGAGCTACGCTTAGAGTAGAGGGCACTTTGTTCCTAGATACTGTTGTGGGAGCTGGCATCTTTGTGCTTGCGTAGAGCAGACGCAACTGCCGATCGTCATGATTCAAAAGTGCGACATTCTCAGCATTAGATTCGGTGTTAGAAATATTATGTGAAATTGCTTTGCTCTGTCTTGAACTCTTTACACACTTGCCGAGGACGGAAAAGCGTTTCCTGTGATTTCAGGTGAAGTTTCAGATAACTGGAGACCATAATTTTAAGCCCCAAGGTGGCTAAGTGTCGATACTCTTAAACGTAGCTTATTTAATTGCTCTACTTGTGCCCATAGCGACAAAGGCGACTGCAACGAAAGGGCTGGAGGAGAAACAGTGACTTATTGCTTGTGTTAGTCCTAGGTAACATTCTTATGTTACCTAGGACGAACAGTTGTTCCAGTGACTCTGTCATTAAGGCCCGTTCACACTCTTGCGACTGAGTAAGACCGAGAGAGACCAGACCGGTTTTTAAGCCTCTTGTGGCGACTTAGTACCGGATGCGCTGCAGCGGAGCTGGTCCTAACGCACCGCAAAAGCCTTAAAAACCGGTCTGGTCTCTCTCGGTCTTACTTGGTCGCAAGAGTGTGAACGGGCCATTACTGTTCTATAAGTGACAAAGGTCGGCTCTGAAAGCAATGTACGCAAGAGCGTGAGCCAGACATTCTGCATTTATCAATTTTCATGAGCTCAGTAGAAGGATACTAGGTAGTGCTTCCATCGCCCCCCCCCCCCCCCCCCCGGAAAGACGGTAAGCCTGGACGCTCGCTCACACTAACGCAACACCAAAAATGTTTTTACAGGTGCGGACAAATACAGTATTGGGGCAAAATAATTTGGATCTAATGCTTGCCCGCTTAGACCCGGACTAGAGTGGCTAAAGGGAGAGGTGTGCTCATTACTTGCATCGATTCAATCCAGAGATTCAGGGCGAAAATAGATGGCGCAATCATTGAATTTGTTCAATATTTCTGCCAAGAACTGCGCGCTTCATTTCGCGTCATTCCACTTGCTGGAACCACCTGATAATAATAACGGTAAGCAGTACTCAGTTGCATGCTGTTGTTGATCGAATGTCTAAACATTGCGTTTTATTTTATTTACTGTGAGCTACGAGAATGGGCTCAGTCTTTTATGAGAACCGTGGCACGAGAAATTTAAATAGCATATTTGAGCCGTTGGACTGAGTGATGGCCTATCTCACAACATTCTGTCCTAAAAACGTATGACGCCTTCGTAGAACCTTCCAGTGTCTTGACTGATAACATGAATGCACCAACATCCCCTGAATAATACGGCGTTCAGAATAAATCTCGAAAACAATACTGAACTGCTTTTCAAGTAACTATTGAAGATATTTGTTTTCCAGATTTGGAGACGGACTTAGTCTTTTGGTAAAGAGAAGAGAAACATTTACCACTACGTTTATGTGGCGGGGATCTCACCCTAGCGCAAAGCGGTGGCGTTGAGAAGTATTTTCTTTCTTTTGACGTAGTTCATCAGGGAAGTACGTTGTAATTCTTATAAACAATTGCACTCGTACAGAGCTCTTTGTATTTTTCCTCTTCTTTCACTGTCTCTTTGAGTGAGGGAAAACAAATCGGTCTTCGTGAACGTCTAAAAAGGGAGAGGGCAATCTTCCTCTGTGATTTGGTGGCGTGGTTCAACGGTATGTAGCGATAACTTATCTAGTGCGTAATGCGAGTTAACCTGAGGTCTGCAACGTGCTCCACGTTGCTGTGACTACTCAACCGCAGACCTGTACGATGGCTGTCCATTTCAGAACAAGCAGGGACGCGGCTCAGGTAGATGATTGGCTGAGCAGATTTATGATGGTTGCGTGATATTCGATCCCAGTGCCCCCACACTTCTCCTGAAACCGTTGATTATTTGTCTCGACGTGTTTAATTAAAGTGGGCTTGGCGGAAGTGTGTGGTCATAGATAGACGAGGGTTCATCAGTCCATTCATGACGGGCCGTAGCCTGCTCCAATGCGATGAGCCTAACGCAACAATATTGATTGCTCCTTATGTATATGCTACAAAGACTACGTGTCTATGAAAACTTGGACAGTACATAGGGGTGCCGAAAACTAAACAGGTCTGGAGTTCACACGATATCCAAACTACTTCAATCTCTTTTTTTCCCGATCCTAGATTACAAAGACCCTAATTGGCTAGAACAATGTACCGTGTATCATGTGTGACTTGAGTCGTAGCGTCAGTACCACCGTGCGGTTCACGCACAAGTGACATTTCTGCCGCAATGCGGAGAAGCAATAAAACACCCACGCCATCACTTCAAGGTTACTATGTCGGTCCTGAAACAAATATCGTTGGGTGTCTCACTAAAAAGCTAATTTTTCATAAATTATCGAGTGATGCCTAGTTCCACGCTGTTTTGAAAAGTTGAAACCGCGCTGACGTCATCAAAACTTTTTTCGGCAACAATATTTCAGGGTATGGCTACGGACATTGCGGCAAAAGGCCATGAATTTTTTTTTAGAAATCGGAAGAGGTCGAGCGCAACGTCTGGGACGTTTGACATGGAATGACCCTACTACGATATTCCGGCGTGTGAATCATATGACGACAACGACGACTTTGCGTGCTTCTTTTGTCGTGTAATTGTTTTGCTGGTCTGTCCTTGAAGATCGATTGGGCGGTACCGCGAACGACAGTTCCGAAGTAGCGGTCCCATTTTCGTCGCAATGTTCTTCCGTCATCCGCGCCCATAGCGTCACCCAGCCCGCAGTATGTCGCCATGTTGAGAATGATGTAGTAATTGTACTTCCGGTGATTTGTGCAACATTTTTGTTTTCAATCAACATACTTGCAGTTTGTTGGAAGTCACAAAATTTAGGTTCATACACATTTTTGTTTTAATATTAAACGCGTGTCTTAGATAACCCACTACTTTGAATATATTTGGTGCGCTAGTGTGAACGGCACGTGACCAAGAAAAAGAAAGCGAGCGCGCATCAAACCAGCCAATATTCTATGGGCGGTGTTCTGGCGGAAAGAAAACAAATTTCGATCTATAAATTGCGTTCAGGGTAGTTGGGCTCTCAAAGGTCATGTCAAATAAAGATTTCGGCGCGCATAAATACCGCGTCAGTGTTCTTTTAAAGATCCACCGCCACGACATTCCCAGAAGACGACCCTTCAGCCCTCACCGTTGGTGTAGTAGGTCCATCGAGCGCAGGTGCCGTCCACCTTGGTGCAGTTTTTACACTGCAGCGCCAGCTGGTCCCTTGACGGCATTTCCGCGAAGTTGTTGATGCCCAAGAAGGGAGGCTTCAGAGGTCCCTGCAGGCCTTCGGGGTCCTCGATCTTCTTCATCTGCTTTTCGAGATGGTCGCGTCGCTCCTCGTCCATCTCCACCTCCGCGTCCCAGCTGCACTGGAAGCACTGGATGGGGAACTTCTGCCGCACGGCCTGAGCTGCAACAAGACCAACGTGAACAAAGAACCGTCTATACACCGCACGTCGTTTTACCATAGCTAGAAACCTAGAATAGTGTCAACGCTACAGCTTCCTTGAGCCAATGAGAGCGGCTTTCCTCTCTCTTCCATCCGTGGCTCCGACAGCACTGCGTGGTATAACACTCGTCTTCACCTAGACCAGGGGTCTCGAAAACCCGGTCCGGGCCATATCCGGCCCGAAAAGGCGCTCCTTCCGGCCCACGTATGACTCCGGTTATCCAAGTGACGCCCGCCTGTGCCGCGACGTGCTTCAAAAGCGTCCGTGAACACATAAGAAAGAATGAAAGAAAATCTACATCAAGGGCCCTAAACTCGTGAAACACAAAGTTGGAGCCGAAAGTTCGCGGAGCGCGCCGATTGGATGTTGGCGAGAAAAGCGCCAAGTCATCGTCGTGATTGTCCAATCGGTGCGCTCCCTCAACTTCGGCCCCAACTTCATGTTTCACGAGTTTTGGGCCCCAAGACGGGCGTGTTCTCTCGTCATAGTATACACTCTAAGAAACGCCTGCGCTTCTCTTACCCACAAAACACTCAAAGAGCCGATCTCTACGATCTACGAAATTAGCAGAGCGAACGATGACGCGGAACATTTTTTTTTTTCGACTTAAAAATGAGTTCTGCACTGCGGCATTACGCAATGCAAAACCCCATGTTGCATTGCGTAATGCCACAGTGCAGACTTGATTTTGAGGTCTAAACAGATGTTCCGCATCATCATTCGCTCAGCTGATTTCGTAGATCGCACAGATTGGCTCTTTCAGTGTTTCGTGGGTAAGTGGAAGCTAGGGTTTCTTAGAGTGATATTTGTTGCACATTGTCATCATCACCATTGTCATCTCTAGTTCCCGGTTTCATGTTCGTTTAACTATGATTGTTTTTACAACTCATGCATATTGTCATCATCATATCTAGCCTTCTCATTAGTATTCTTCTCCCCCGTGGTACTACGCCAAAGTTTATTTCTGCTTAGATTTATGCCTGGTGGGATATTTCGGTCACAAATATTTTGAAATACCACAATTAGCATCATATTGCATTAAAAAAAATATTGCGTACTGTAAACCCGTTATTTCCGTAGTCTCTACATTTCGCGAATTGGTCACACATTTAATGGCTGCGTAATCGCAGTCATTAAATTTGCCGAATTCCAGGCGTCGGCATTGAAACTTTATAAGGACCGAAAATTTCGCGTTCCCCTGAATTTTGCGAATCTCTCGATTCGCGAAAATTAAGATCTCATAAATGTTAAGTGTTTACAATATCTATTCATCCATATATTTTTTTTTAAATTTTTACTCTACTTTTTTTGTATGAAGACAGTTGTTTATACCTATCTATTTATTATTTTCTTATGTATTCTTATGCTTTGTTTAATTTTTTATGCATTTATTGATCTACTTTATGGTTCTGGAGACTGCGACAGGTCCCCGATTCGGCCCGGCTCTTAAACAAAAGGCTTAGAGAACCCTGAAGTAGAGAACCGTTGTAAGAAAAGACCAGGTTCTCGTGAAGCGTTATTAATTAACCTGTTTTGTGGATAATTAATATTGTAGGTAAATGTAGCTTAGATTAGATAATGTTATTTTATAAGCACGTACACGCTTCAAATACCAAATCCGTCGCGTCTTCCTCCAACAACCAAATCTTGTAAGAACTACTTTGCGTGGCGTATGAACAATGCGCTAAACTTATTTTAGCATTAACGTACTATTTTTGACAGTCTAGGTTACAGTGGATAAATTAAAGAAAAAATTGTTAACAATATTATTTTCAATAACATGTCGCATCTTAATTTTTGTGCACGTGATGTGTTTATGTACTATATATATATATATATATATATATATAGATATATATATATATATATATGCTCGTACGAGGTGACAATGCTTTCATTTTAATGCTATGCAAGAAAATATGCCAGATCGGTTATAAATTTATATTGCCATGGATAGGTAGGTATATTACAGAAGTGCTGACGTTCATGCTAGAAGCTTACAACCATTTCAATATTTGAATTGGGCAAAACCGTCTTGAAGTTTGTAGTGTTTTCACTACACTCCTAAGGACTTGACACACAATTTGTTTTTACATATCTGCTGTAATGGACATTTTCAAATTTACTCTTGGCGTTAATCACTATTAACTATTCTCCCAGGTTTGGCTCCAACAGTTATAAAAATATATTTTAAAACTTTTAGCTAAGTTAATTTCGCATATTTTGCATTTTTGTTTAGGTTTCTCGATTAGTGTGTTGTCATTGTTTTAAAGAAATAATTGACCTTTTTAAGAACCCTACCAAGTAAAAAAATGGCGGTGGCTATTTCTTACGAACGAAAAGTGTGGTTGGATCCGAGTCTTCGCCACCAAACATTGACGCGGCACTTATTTTCGATAGAGCAGAGCCGAGTTCACGCTGAACGCTGGCATAGCCTTCTTTTCGAAAACATGATTAGAGTACGTGCTCAGATATGGCGGACTATCATAAGTGGCACAAGAGCTACAACATGGCGCGCAGCTTTGAGAAGGGTCGATTGCGGATCCGCAACGGGTGGAGATACCTTATCAGGCAAAAATGCCCTCTTCTGCAAACGCCATGTAAGCCTTGTCCCTCTGAATAAAACAAATAAAATAAATGAAATGTCGGGTAACCTAGGAAAAAAGAAAAAAAAAAAAAGAAAGCTAATTGTGGTGGCATCGGAAAAACGTGGGAAAGGCGCCGATACTCTCAACGCTGCTTTTTATTAACCCTACTGTCAATTATCATGTCAGTTTAATTCTCTGGAACTGCAAGGAAAGTAAAAAAAAAAAAAAAAATACATAACTGCAATAAATTTCACAAGAAGGGCATTGCTTCGTGCTTTCATCATTCTTTCTCGGGAATTGCTCGATCTCTTCGTGAACGAGCGATAAAGAACGGAAGGGTATCGAAGGAAAGAGGAATGATAAAAAAAAGCTGAATGACGTGCTCGTGAGCCTTGAAAAATGCGAGTTTCATGGAGGTTGCGCTAGGCTCATATCAAACACTAAAAATAGAAATGAACCTCGATGTTAAAAACAAACATGGTATGAGACGAGGACGAAAGAGGAGACTCAGGAGGCTCACTTCAACTCTTTAATGATCAAGAAAGGGGGAAGTATATACGCTGCGATCATTGCACTTTCAGCCAATCTCAGGCCTCGCCCCCGCTCTCGAGAATGCTACCTGCTTATCTATTTGTACAATGAAGGCAACGCTGACACAGCCTGCACCAGATCTTTCAATAACGTGTGCTTCGATTACCTCCGTTACGGTCTTATTCTTATAGCTGGCAAGAGCAGTGCACGTGTTTAACCAACATCTAGACTAAAAAAGCATCACATTTTTTTTTCCTAATTTGCCGAAAAAAGCCATCGGGGCCTTGCTAAAGCTCGAAAGAGTACGAAACCCGCGTGGATTTACCGTCAAAGCAACAAGGAATTATTGATGCAAGCGTGTTTATTTCAATAAATGTCAACTGCTGTCTGCATTTGGGTTAGAAAGCTGATTTTCGTAGACTGCCAAATTATTGTTGCATAATATCATCGATGCAACATGCAACAACAGTGTAGGTGTATAACAAGGTCTAGAGATAGGGTTAGAGCACAAAATTGTGAGTGATGTAACTATTCCCGCAAGATAAATTATTTTCAAAAAATACTTGCCGAAAAGTACACGATAAAGACTAATGGGCCTTTTCCAAATACCGACGGCACCAGGCGGTGGCTGCACGAACTAAAAATCGAGGAAGTGACCTACCTGCGCTACCAATCAATATTGAGAGCTACGCTACCAGTTGCTTCGCTCTCTGAGCTACGTCGCGTGCCCAACGCGACTTTAAAGAGGGAAATCCGTAGCGTCCACCCAAACGTCGTCTTTTTCTTTCCGTCCACTTTCTTTTTTTGTGTAACACAATTATATATATGCTCAATTACGTGTTCTACTCGTCGATCTACAGCCTCATTCCGAATTTCCTCGATTTTTCGGGCCGACTTCCACCGCTTGGCATCGGGCGCTCGCGCGCGCGGAGAACGCTTCTCGGGAAAGGTCCATTGAAATCGGCATTGCACATCACAGTACAAACACTGTGGACGTAGTAAACGCGTGAAAGTACTGTATAATTGCCTCAAACTGACATAGCAGTGTGTTTAAAAGAAAAACGAGTGTTGGAAGTTGCGTTTGGCCTAGAGTCGTTATTTGTGCAAAGCGTTTATGAAAGGATTTCAATTTATTCTGAAGAGGAGGTTATTTATTTTTGCAGCTAGACTTACCTGCAATCTTGTCACATATTTTAAATTCAAGGTTCATCAAAAATAGAGGGGTTTACCGCCGTTCTTTCTGCGTCTGGTTTCGGTATATCATCTTTTCTGCCAAAAAATAGTGCGGAACAAACTTTGATTGTCTCGATTTTAACAATTACTATGGTATATTTTTACGACGGGAAACGCATCACTAATTTATAAAGAGGCCGCTGAAGGAAACATTTTAAAAGGTAATTAATGGAGTATAGGATTTCCTGTTCTCAGAGTTTATTTCCAGTGAAACACTGAGAGCGTTTTGTGCAGTTTATTTTTTGTTGCGAATCCGGCGCTTATCGAAATATATTTTTGGTTAGAATCCCAATTACATAAAACTTGAGCACTACTTGCATTGTTTTCTCTATTGAAAATAAACATATAAATAAAGAATACATAAAGTCCAGATAAGAACATACTTTGAATTTGTCAGAACTCACCTGTATCGAATACCCCTGCTGCTACATTTGGCATAGACGCACTTGCCATTGCCAATGCCAACTTTCCCACAACAAATATCACTATCAGGTGTTGCCTCAATTACAGTCGGCACTTTGGAATGACTACCTTCCTGGAAGTAGTCACTAGGGAACATTGAAGCTGAATCTGCCCCTCCCCCCCCCCCCCCCTTCCATTGAAATTCTTGGGTTGATCGCTTTCACTGGTAATTAAAATATTACCCCTCCTTCCTTCAAGATTCAAGTATGGTATGGTCCAAACAGAAAACCTCAACCATGGCTTTTGTTTTATACCAGAGGTTTTCATCGAACATTGACAAGCCTAAAGGTAAAGCCGCTTTTTCGGTAGTCCAAATTTTCAAAGAAAATTGAAGCGGCCTCTGTTCAGGACTATTGACCCTGTGCTCTTCTAAACTTTAGTTGTAAGACACCATCTTTTTTTGTTTGTCGTCATCTTAAAATGTCGGGCTTTTTGAATAATTATGAATTCAGTGATGTTTTACGGGCAAATGTTTTTTTTTTTTTTTTGATTTTTCCGAAAAACATGGAACTCTAAATATTTGCGTGGTGTACAGACCGTTCTAAAAAATCCTTCCTGGCCGGTATCACTTTCAGTGTTCATGCGTATGGCACGTGATTTGCTCGCTTTCCGAAGAGACCAGCATCCCCGTGCTGGGCTGAGAACATCGCACGCTGGGCTGATGGCTCTAAATATTAGAATGGTGTATAGTAAACACCGAACTGGAAGCTTCATTCTGTCACAGCATGAACCACCGTGATGTTGACTTTCGCAGTCATTTCATTAGTGTACGGAGTCTCATGATAAAAGAATAAACCCGATTTCTTAGCTACCTCCTTTGCGGAACTAGCCTTGAGGGTGTCAGCACAGGGCGGGAGCGCTTACTCAACAAAGTGCGATTGGAAGCTTTTTAGGACGTGGCTGTCTTCCACTTCCTAATAGATACCAGAAGCTTTAAGAAACAGACGGCGAGGCGAATATTAAACCTCTTACTCCTGAGCCAATCAAGTTGCAGCACTAGCCAATGAGAGCGCCGAAGATTTATTTAAGAAGTAAAAAAAGCAAATATATGTAAATTCACATAATAAACCACACCCAACGTTTGTTAAGCTGTAGTTGGTAAGCTCTTACACAAATAGTTTCGAACCAAAGTAATGCTAATACTAGAAGTTCTTTGACCACTCAAGTGTTTCGATCGTGAAACCAAGCAATTTTGTTTTTGGAACCAACCAGGGGACGTCAGAATTGAAAATGGCAACCGCCACGCGAACGCTGTCTATCAGCTGCCGGAGATAAACGATACGAACGTGCTAGCCCAATCTCATAAAACGAAACGGACGCTTGTTTCAACACTAGCGTCAGGGTTTGTCACTTGTGATGAATATTCCCGAGGGCAATGAAAATCGCGATTTCAGGCGGGCGCGAGAGAGAATAGAGGGGCACTTACCCAGAGAAAGGACCGCGAGGAGTTGAAAAATAAGTAGCTCGTTCGGCTTCATGTTTGAGATTAAGGCTAGGAAAACATTAGAAACTTGGACGTTTTAGTGCCGGCCACTACCTCTACGTCTGCCACTTATTGCTCGAGATAACTTGCCTCGCAAAACCACGTGGGCATTTCGTTTATCTGGATGAAACTCAGGTCAGGTATTGCGAAATGTTTTCTTATCGGCCGGGGTTCCGCGCCCTTTGTACCTCTGCTTCCGTTCGTGCAAGCATTTCTGTGACGATAAAAAGAAAACACAAAAATGATTTATATAGAAGCATCTAATAAAAAAGTACCTGCCGCCGAAGATGAATTACAAACCGACGGATGGCGCCGTGTTCGTCATTCAGACCTACAGTGCCTAGATTGAAGAGAGGGTCCGTCCCAAATCATGGCAAGTGTTTGAAATTGAGAAAATATCCGAGGTCGTAAACGTTTTGTGTGGTGATCGGGGAAAAAGCCGGAAACGTTTCGAGACATGGCAGGTCCTTCTTCAGTGCGTTGAAAACCTCAAGAAACTTTTTTTTCTTTGCTTGGTTTGAGATAGTCACGCATTAGAAAAATTAGAAGTGTGAAGAACAATATTACTTCATGAAAAATATATACTAAATTTGTATCTCGCTTAATGGTTTGATACAATTGAACTAATAAGGCAATGCGGAGCCGAAGTTGGTACGCTTCTTGCGCAGGGGTTGCAATGATATTAGAATCCCAAGCTCTTATTGGCTGATAAAAAACAAATAGTGGGTAGAACTCAAGGCATCAATGCTAAGGTCTACCCTCTATCCTTCCAATCAAAGCAATCAGAGCTCGGCTTCGTGCTGACGTCACTGCAACCTCTGAGCAAGAAGCAGACGACATCGTCTCCGGATACACCTTACAATGTTAATAAAAAAAATCGTTATTCAAGCTAAAATCAGTTTTGGGACATGTGGTTGGCGTGAAGCCAACATATCTTGTGTCATCTTATGGTGGTCATCTGTTAGAATATTCGCTCATGTCGTATCAAACGATTAAACGAGGAAAAAAAAGAAACAAAATAACAGTGCGGCACCGATTGAAAGATCTTCAAGGAGGCGGTAAAGTTCCTTTATAAATAATAAAGCACTTCGGTTCTAGGGTATTAAATGATAGAATTAATTGCGATGCCTTAATTTTTCCGGTCTCTAATAGTTCTAAAGTAACCTTGAAGTATGATAAAACTAAAATGAGAAACATCAATATGTTTCTCATTTTAGACGAAAAACTTGCCCGGGAACAAGTATAGGAATGTGAGTTTTATGTAGATTCGTCCGTTTTTTACACTTGTTCCAGTTTCTTCAATATGTTGAATTAGGCATTTGTTATATTCAACCAAATATATTGTATTTTTTTAAATACACTTAAACGCGTCGTTTATTTTCCAATTAAAGTTGTTCGCTGTAGTACAAATAGAGTAAGAAACAAGTCAATCCAAATATAAATTACAGATATTATTATTAGATTTTGCACAACCGAAGGGACCGTGCTACGTCCAATGGAGTCTCTAGGTTGTCTTAACATATTCATAAAATTACGTGGCCGCTTAATAGAGAAACGAGGCGGCTGTGGAACTACGGTTTGAAAATGCTTTATCGATGCGTAATATATTCATATGGCGTCGAAGGATTTTATTAATGTTTGGTAACTATGACTAATATAACAAAATGAGTCGTAATTTATCATTTCTCTCGTTGGTCTTCGTATTAAACTATCAACCCTAGGAATAGCACGGGGTTTTTGCCATGCCGTAATACGCCAAAACAACACGGACGAAAGCGAAGAGAGAACTGGACAGGACGCAGTGTAACTTTTAAGTGAATAGTTTATTTCAATGTCATACTCTCACAAATATAAGAACAGCCACCCTTGGCAGAACATAAAGATATTATCTAAAAACACACGACCCTTAAGTACCATCGTCATTGGTTCTTTAGATAGTAGGATTCTTCGTCGGACAATGGCAAAGAAAGAGCGCTTACAGAAGAGTTGTCGTGGTGGGACTTACTGAGGAAGGCTTCGTGAATTTCTCCGGCCGTTTTCGATATTAAGTTAATTACTGACTGTATGGGACCCACACGATCAATAAAAGCGTCTCGTAGTGTTCTTTCCTGTCCTCCAAAGTATTCTTCCTCTAAACATAAATGTTTTTTTATCTCAGCACTTGGCTGCACGTTATTCTTCTTATTTTTTTACAGGATGGCATCTTTTATAATGTAAGAACTAACGACTATATGTAGGCCTTCTATTTAAAGCCGTTTTAAATTGTTTTGTACAATCCTAAGTGTAACATCCATGCAGTATATTTCTGTGCCGCAGCACTGTTTGCGATATTAATACATTCAAGAATTTTTTTCTTCTTTATTATTCCAACTGATAAATATATTGTCTAGAGAACGTTGTTAAAAAGTGGTTTGTGTGGAAATTACTTTAGGCAACGTTCCTCTAAAGTCGTCATGTAAATGTCTGCATAAGATAGAGAAAAACGTGATCCCATCGCTGCGCTATGAATCTGTAAGTAGTAAGTACTCATAAATGTGCAATTATGAAGTTTCAATGTTAAATGCATGAAAATATTTAAAGCATTCTTACTCACAGCCAGGTGAGTGTCATCAGAGCTACATAGAACTCTTTGTACTCCTTCATATTGAGGTCTGTCTGTATAACGTGATTACGACCATTGTTACTAGCAATACTTTGAAATAAATATCATTGCGCATCCCTAATTAAATTAAAAAAACGGCATAAATCTTTCCTGTATGGGCCTTAGCCCATACGGGAAAGGTGTTAGCTGCATTAGTATTAATTTATTCGTATATATACTCTGAATTGGTTCAAGTATTTGGTCATATTGCGTAAATGATGAATATATTTTTGGGTTATTTGGCTTGTGTGCCATCATTAATGTAAAAACATCTGCGGGTCCAAAATTTTCTTGTAGGAGATATTTAAAAATGTCCCTCCCTATGTGCTTCTTTTCTCGTAGACGTTTTAATTATTTCTTAATTGTTTCCTCGCTTCTTATAATATTTAGTATCATTCACTTGTCTATCTGCTTCCCCAAATGTAATCAACTGTATTAACTATACATATGCCACCTCCTTTAGCTGCTTGAACAACTATAATGTCTCTGTTATCTATAAGGTGCTTTAGGCATAATCTTTCTTTCTATGTTACAGTAAACGACTAAATTTTCGCGAGGAACTAATTTTTCCGAATTTCGCGAATCGCCTACAAATCGCGAAAAATACGTCCCGCGAACTATTCGGGCAAAATGTGAACGCTACGCAAACTACACTCGATTCGCAAAAATTAAAGCCCGCGAATAATTTCAAATTTTCAGCTTTGGCCCGATTCGCGAAAATTTGAGCCCGCGATAGTTAAGTCGTTTACAGTATATTGTTTCTAGAGGTCTCTGTTGATTACACCCAGATATAACATATCGCTTGTATGTATTTGACGACATTTTGTTCCAGTACAGCTGCCTTTTCTTTATCTGGTGGAGGTACTCCCGTGAGAACCCAGCTTGAAAACATTGTATCGCCTCCGAGGTTTCTTTGTAGAAGTAGAGACACTTCGCCACCTTCGGCTCCCAGGGTACGCCGATGATCCAATGATATAAGTACGTACATACCTCCTAAAGCGTACAGTGCCCATCGCGAAATGTTGTCGTCTGGGTCTCTGAATAAAAAAAGAAACGATTTATCTTTACCGTTAGAGCCACATGTAACAGATCAAATCCGCCACTCTTGAGGGTCAGAAAGAGATTTTAAAGTCTCATTTTCTTCAGTGGCGACTGCCAAAGAAACGTAGCGAAAAGTCCGTGTGACTTGCAGACTGCACGTATTGATCGGGGTATTGCCTGGGCTACCTACATCTAGATTGAAAAAAGAACCGTGTTGCACACAAAGTTTCTTTGGAGATAATGAATGTGCACTGTGTACCACGGTTAAAATAAGGTCCTCATCTTCTGCTTCCCCAAATGTCATGACGTAACTTTTTTTTTCTTTTTTACACAGCTATGTGTTATATATTAAACATCGCCGTGAGTCGAGGTGCTATTTGGCGGGAGAGCCCTGCGGGGTATATGCTTTGTGTCCAGCAGATAGCCGCTTGATATCCTGTAACAGGTTTTTAAAACCCGCGTTAGCGCTGGCATCTCCATTCAAGGAATTTCTACCGACTGTACATGCCACGCGTTAAAGGGAAGCTACGGAGGTTCTTGAAAAAATGAGTCTTATAATAATTCTACTGTATTTTTAGACCCTCAACCCGAATACCCAAACGATTTGCTAAGCAAGTATTGTTAAACGCGAGAAAATGCGAAAGACAGTCGCTGTACGTCACGTCATTGACGGATATTTTTGCTGCCCAAAGCTAGGGAGGCGGGGCTTCAGCTCTATTTTAAAATTGCTCTTATGGCTCTCCGGCGCGTCGCATTGAAACACAATTGTGATATCTGTTAGTCTAATGGCCAAATGAACGCAGTTCAAGTGTTTTTCCTCAAATGCAGAACTGCCCTAACTCCCGTTTAAGCCAGTCGCTAAATAAACTGATGAAGAGCGCCGAGAGCGCAGATGCCATACCTTTCACGGGCAACTCAATGGCCCAGTCATTTGCCATGTTACAAACATTCCCACTGTGCACTTGCGTGCGGACATTGTACAGAGCACGCAGTCCATCAAAACAGAGAAGAACACTTCAATCATACTTTTAAATGAAACGTTCTTTGGCTATGTTTTCGGCATTTAGTGAAGCCCAGATCAAGGTGGAGCCTGGATAAAAGCGTTGCCGCGAGGCTTGACACTGATTGAATTTGAGGGGGGTTGTTATCGCAGTAATAAAAAGGATGCATTAGGCAGGAATCAGGCCAAGGCCCTACTTTGAATATATAAATATGAATCATAAGAGCGTCTTACGCGATCATAATTTAATCATGCGCGTTTTGTCACTGCTAGCTTTGCGCCTGCTGCGCGAGTGGGAACTTTGGTGCGCCCCAGAGTTTGCCACGAGCATCAAGTCGTTCTAAAATTGATTGATATAGTGGTTTTCGATCATGCTCAGCATGTTTCTAACTTAAACTATACGATTATTTTTACTCATTAAAAAGTTAATGAAGAAAGTT